AAACAAAAGTATTTGCACACCACATTTTACTGCAATTCAACATTACATTTTTGCCATACGAATCTTTTTCCATCCGACCCAAAAACATTGAATTTACTTTTTATCATGGAAACACCAATATGCAAAAATATTTACTCCGCTATATAAAACTTTTTTCTTCTTCTGTTAATGACTTTAATAACGTTTCGAAATTAATATATTCCTTATTCGTTACTTGAAGAAAACTAGGTGGGTAAATAATTAATTTTATTTGTATTTTTTCACAATGTATGTATAGAAATAATATTTCAAATATTTTGTTCATTCTTTTTATGATCTTTCACAGTAACGATTAAATACGTATGCACGAGAAAGTACTTAGTTTCTATAATAATACAGATTAGAAGTTCTTAATGATAGTTCTCTTGGTTAAAAGAGTGTAAAGTAGGAGTGAAAATAAAAAAAACAAAACTTAGTCCTATGTTGTGACGATGATAGAAAAAGAAGAGGAAGGTTAGTAGATGAGGGTGGCAAATAGGTGGGACAAGGGTATCGTTTACTGAAACGACGAAAAACATAAACGTTGGTTGGTGATCTTAAGATGACGCACTTGTCCCAAAGTAGGTCACTTACAACAGCACCTAGAACGACGACGATGACCTGTCGAGAGTCGATTTCTCAGATCCATTAAAGAACATGGTTAGTCCTTTTCCATGGGTAAGGGTAAAACGATATTATAGGAAAGGAAAAGAACAAGCTAACGTAAACGACGAGACGTCGAATCGTAAACGGATTACGATCGTATGAAACGGCAGGAAGGATATATATCGTTTCGATACTCACATCACAAAACGACCTATCGAATTCGCTTTCGTTCAACCATCATTGCGCTCCTCTTTCGATGCTATAAACGAACACAGTTATTTAAAGCGTTCTATTAACGAAGTCTATCTACCATCTCTAATGTATCGTCTCATCACTCGATACAAATCTAATCAAAGATTGCTTAATATTCCACAAGGAGAAAAGCAAAAAAAAGTTTGATGAAACGTAGACAGATGATTTGTTAGACGAGTTTTCCAATTCCATGAGACATATGTCTGTATTTAAAAATAAGAAAAAATGAATTCAATATTAGGTTTTTATTTTATTTTCGTTTCCGTGTATATCCTAGAAATAAAATAAAAATATAAATATATTATATATTAGATATAAAGAATAATAATATTTAATAAATGATACGCGCACGCGGTCCGATTCCGCCTCGGTCGTATTACGGGATGGAAGCCTAAAACGCAAGTCCTGAAATTCAACAAGTGCTTCCTCTCGAAGCCGACTCGACTCGAAGAGGATAGGGGACGGTCGTGTTCGGTCGACGTTCGTTCGTTCGTTCGTTTGTTCGTTGGTTTGGTCGGTCTGTCGGTCGAACACGGTGCGGAGCGCGCGTGCGGAAGCGAAGGATGGAAGGAAGGAAGAAAAGAAAAGAAGAGAAGAGAAGAGAAGGAGAAGAAGAAGCGCATCCAAGCTCCATTACGTGCGTGACGCGACTGAACGGGGTGATGGTCGAGGGGAATGGTGGGGGGCAGCGTTCGGTGTCGCTCGGCTGGAATTGGTGGGGAAGGCTCGGGAGTTGTCGGTTGTGTTCGGTTTCTGGTTTCTCCCGCGGCCGCATAAGCGGTGTCAGCGTGTGCGCAGACCGGCTGCGCAGCAGGCGTGTGCGTTGTCTAGATTCTTTGTGCCATTCCTGGCATACCAAAAACAAGAGTGGTGACTGCGCTCCTATTTACCGGGGTGCAGCCCTGCGCGCTGATATAACCGTGCGAATTTAATCCGTCGGATAAAGGGCTCCGTCGCGCGCGCGCGCTCGACGCCACGTCAGCTCGGCCAGTGGTAAGTAAGACGAAAGAAAAGAGTGTCGAACGTGTCCGTGTCGCGCGAGTTACACCGCGTCTTACTTGCTGTCTCTCTTTCTCTCTCGCTCTCGCTCCTACAATCGTTCGGTCTCGCTCTTATTTGTTCTCTCTCACTCGCTCCAGTCCACGCCCGTTGGCTCTCTCCCGGCGGTGGCGTCCCGTACGGCAGTGGCCACTATGTACGCTTCTCCAAAGACGACACCAGCGACGACTACGACGACGACAACGACGACGACAACGACGACGACACCGATAAACTGACCGTATGAACAAACTTACGAACGAACGAACGAATAAACGAACGACCAAGCAACACAAATTTCAAGCGATACAGAGAAAAAGAACGTGTGATATACTTTGAAAAAGAGCCCCGAGAGATAAAGAAAGAAAGAAAGAAAGAAAGAAAGAAAGAGAGAGAGAGAGAAGTTATGACGCGCGCGATAGATGCACGCTGCCTTCAAGAAAATCTTCCGAGATACGAGTTAATTTCTTCTGACACGACGTACTCGCGATTGTCAGGAGGTGCAGCAACGCGTCGCTATTCTCGCTGACTGGTGTGCTGTTTGTTGTTTTCTTGCTACTGCTGCTGCGCTTGCCGCTGGCTCCCGCGTTACTTGCTCTGTTCGAGCCAAACAGGAGCCGGTGTTATTCTACGCGTGTATGTTTCTTCATTATTGTTCTATCTATCTATATCCATATATATATATATATTTATCTATCTGTATCTATTATTTCTATTTAATTTCTCAAAATTTCAAAATATCCTCATTCTTCTCGGTACAGTGTTAGCATCGTCGTCATCCTCTGTCAAGTGTTTTTTTCATAAACCCATACCATACCATACCATATATATATATGCATACATACACATATGTGTTGTAAGCAGAAAATGAAAAAAAAATAACAATATTTATCATTGATAGGAAAAAGGTAATTAATGAAATAAATAATAAGTGTTTAATTTAAAATAAGGGAAGAATATAGTTTTGTGTTGTGTGAAAGATGAGGTTAGGAACAGGAGCGCGCGCGCTCGGTGTATGCATCCGCCGTCCGGTGTGTGCCGAGCTGCGTGCGTCCTCCCCCTCTCTCTCTCCTCATCCTCTTTCTCACTCACTCACTTGCCGAGTAGGGAACAAGAGTGAGAGAAGAACGCGTCGCGCCGTGACGAGAGAGGCGAGGCGACAGATAGGTTCGAACGACGTATACCTCTCTTGCCTAGTACCCGCCTGCCAGGCCGTTCGCTCGCGCGCATAAGCTTCTTACTTACGTCAGTTAGTTCAACTACGTCCGACTGATTCTCTTTTACTATCCTTGCACTGTAACGTACTATTACTACTACTACTACTACTACTACTACCACTACTACTATTCTACTACTACTGCTATTCTTCTATTACATTACTACTACTCTACTACAACTGTTAACTAGTGTGGTTGTTGTTATTATTGTTACTACTGTTGTTAGTGGTGTTATTTTGTTCGTTCATGCACTTCTCTCTTCTCTTTTCATTTTTCTTCTCATTTCATTTCTTTTCTTTTCACTTTTCTTCCCTTCTCCACTCGTCTCAATTTTCTAATTTTTTTTAACTATATATTTGTTTTAAATTTGATTTGAAATTATTGATCATAAAATAGTGCGTGTAAGTGAGGAAAAAACTGGGTGACGAATTTTTTATGTATTTTTGTATAATATTTGTGTGTAGATAAAGAAAAAGAATATAAGACAAGAAAAAGGTAAAAGGGTTGTAAAAAAGGACGCGTGCCTGAGAGATATTGAGGAGCAGAGTGAATCGCTTAGCTCCCCCCCTCAAGTTTTCCGTGATCAAACCACCTACTAAACTTATCCCACCTCTGGTGGTGCTTCGAACACCCTTTCTTCACGACTTATATTCGTGTGTGTGTGTGTGATTGTGTGTGTTTTCAAATCAATTATATACGTATTACATATATACGTATTATATATATATTGAAAAGATTATTAAAAATACGAAGAGAGAAAAATAAAAAGACTCGAGTAGTATAACGAGTGAATAATCAAAATTTCGTGTTGTTCGTTGTCATTGTTGTTGTTATTATTGTTATATTGTTGTTTTACATTTTATCTACGAAGACCAATTACAAGTGGAAATACGATGATTATAATAATAGTGCGGAAATTGAAGTAATAACGAAGAAACGAAGGAAAGAAAGATGCGCACATTTTTGGCGCGCATTTTTACGTAGTCAAAACCGGTGAATTGAAATATCTTCATTAATTTCAAAAAACGATTATTTTTAAACCTTTCTTGTAAAAATTAAAAAATTATTATCGCATAATAATTATATTTCACAAATTGTCGCAAATATTTTGTCCATCTTTCTTTTTTGTTTTTCTCGTTGAAAAAAGAAAAATCCTTTGAAAATCGTAGATAACAAGCCGCGTGTGCGTGGAACAAACTCGCGAAGGCGGGAAGAAGAGCAGCGCGAAAGAGCCGCGAAATTCGCGCGCCTCGTCGACCGGGTGGAGGTGGAGGTAGAGGTGGTGGTGGTGCAGTAGTAGGTGGTGGTGGYGAAGAGGAGATCGGGGTGAAGAAGGACGGATTGGTGGGGCGGGAGGGGGGTGGTTTTCACGTCGCGCGTTTGTTATGTTCGCGACGCGAGGAAGCACGCCGCTCGTGACGGCTGACCTTTCGGAAAGGTGTTGACCGACTGACTTGATCGTGTGTGAAAACGAGATTCTAATCCTTTAATTTCGTTTAAAAGAAGATAATACTACTAAGACACGAGGAATTAATACACGCGGATTATAATTATCCCTTATTCCTCGTCATCGTTTTGTTATCGTCGTGAAAAGTTTGCCGTTTGCTTAAAGAGATAAAAGAAAGAAACAGGAAAGAAACAGGACCAGCACAAGGGGGTGAAAGAAATAAGGGAAGAGAAGAAAGGTGGGAGAGAAAGAAGGAAAGAAAGATAAAGATAGAAGAGAAGAAAGAACTAAGGAAGAAGTTGAAAATCCTTGAATTGTGGTGGACATCGTTATTATTATCCGAATGATATAATTGATTGTTAATAATTGGTGATTGATTGTTAGTTGTTATTGTTGGTTGTTGTTGTTATTATAATTATTGTTGTTGTCGTCGTCGATCTAACGACGACGACGACGACGACGACGGCTTCGCAATCGGAGGAAGAAGAAGAGGCAGCAACGAAGCCGACGGACGTCGACGGACGCCTGCTGTCTCCTCCTGGACTACTACTACTACTACTACTACTACTACTACTACTACTACTACGAATACCAAAACTACTACTTCAGAAGGATAACGAAGAAAACTACGACGGCCTATCGTTCTTTCTCCTGTTCTTCTATTTCTTCTTTTTCTACTTCTACTTCTTCTTTTTCTTCTTCTTCTTATTCTTATTCTCCTATAACGAAAGACGAGCTATTAGAGAAGCTCCAGAAGAAGCACGACCCTACCATCACCATCGCCGCCACGGCTTGGATGGATACTGTGCATTATTTCTGGAGTGAGTTTCTTCTTTTACTCCTCGTGCCTTCGCGTCTTTATATATATATTTATCTTTTGTGTGTGTATATATATATATACATATGTATCCCTCGCGATGGGTGATTCGTGTATATGTGTATCTATCTTTGAGTTACAACTACTTGTGATTTGTATATGTGTCCATCTATTCCTATATTCTACTCTATTGTTAGTGTATATGTGTGACGTGTATATGAATTTTATGCGACCATTTTTTATCCTTTTCTATGTCCGATCTTTTTTTATATATTAAACTATTATTTTCTATCTTTCTCCTCTTTATTTTATTATTTAAATAATTTTTTATTTTTTCCTAGTAAGACAGTCTCACGTGCGGTCACGCGATCCATCTCGTCTTCTCTTTTGTTCCTCCTCTTTCTTCCTATTATACCTTCCTTCGAGAAAGATCTATGCATTATCTCTCTCTCTCTCTCTTTCTCTTTTTACAAARATTTGAAAAAGTACCTTCTTTTCTCGTGTTAATGACGTACGTTACGCGAACACCAACCCTGCTGCAGGTGTTCCTACAGTGGCTACTTCCTACTCATATTAATTTTTTTTTTTTTCAAATTCATATGCACACATATATAGACAAGTTTTATTTAATATTCCATGATTATTTTTTATCTTTATCTATTCTTTTTTTCTGGTTATTTTTTTTTTCATCATTATATTACTCTGCAAGTGTTCAAGTATTTTATTTATCTTCCTTTTCTTTTTTATTATTTTTTATAACTGTTGTGTATATAAAGAACGCGACGAAAGCAGCTTTACGTTCAATCGATGTTAATCGTCTGGTTTCTACTTTTTAGTTCTTTATTTATTTACTTGCTTACTTGCTTTAATATGTGACAACACGACAAGAAAGTAAAGTTTTCTCTCTTCGCTTGTATATTGATGTGTACGTGTGTGCGTGTATGTGTGTATGTGTGTGGGGAGGTTAGCTCTAAGAAGTTATATTTATAATAGATACGACGAGACGCACGAGTTATGTTTAAGTTTATAGTTATGAAATTTTAAACTAACTGTGTGTGTGTGTGTTACGTGATCTATCTGCATACTTCTTGCTTTTTAAATCGTTATTATCGTTATATAATTTCGATTGTTTATTTAGAAAAATAATTATCGTTAAAACTGAAGATTCTAATGCATTGTGGATATACGATGCATTCATAAAATATTTGAAATAATAATTAAGGATGAAAGAAAAGGTGTGGTTTGATAAGATTGTTCTTTTCTTTATCCACACATGTCAAATTTTCAATGATTATTATTAATTAATGGATTAATTACATTGTTCGTATCATATCGTAAATGTCAATTTTTTCTGACAACTATTAATGACGTTTCGTTCATATACGATTGATTATGAAAAGTATCCAAAATTGTTAGATGATATTCTTAAAAAATACTTCCATTCATTTTAACAAAGATTGTTAAAATTATTTAAATATTATACAATAATTATAATATTTAGATTCACGTTTATAATTCCCAATTAATTTGTATCACACGTAACGTTATGTTACATTGACATGATTATGTTTTATTCGCAAAAATGACGTAAAAACACTTAAGTATTATCACGAATACTAAATCGATATATTTTGTACAAAACGTTCTCGGAGTTTGAAGAAGAAAGTGCACATCCATTATAAGTGCACACGTATCTACAATCTTTTCCCTTCGAAATCGTGGAAAGTTGGGGGAGCCTTAGGAATACTTTATTCTCACGGTACATTGATTTTCTATCGTTTGTGAACGACGACGAACGTGTCGAATACTCTCTTATTATATCAATCCATCTCTCTCTTTCACTTTCTTTTTCTTTTTCCAACCCTTCTCTTTTTTTTTTTTGTATCCTTGACCGTTATCATTTTCAAGTCGACGCATCGTTGTTACGATAGGAACAATCTTTCGAGTTATGATCATGCGATTTCAATGGGTTATTCCCTGGAAAATCTTATCGTTCTTTAAACTCTTTTCTTTACATAGATCGATCGAGATTGATCTATCGATTGATTTATCGATTTTTCTATCTTTTTTATCTCATTGATATATCTAATAAACTGCTACCTAAATATTATAACTACTTTCAATTTGCATTAAATATAAAAATTGAGTTATTTCGATACAGTCAACTTAGAATATCATACGAAAAGGATATATTTTTTTTTTATTAATAATATAAATGAGATATTTTAAATGTAATAAGAGTTACGTGACTCATTTGGTTTAGAACGAGTTTGCCGATAACGTTCGTTTAGTAAGCCATAAGATACATCGATCCTGGTGTCCACTTTCGAGATCGTTTAAACTGTTGTTTGATATGATTTATAATGGGGTGTCCAATTTTTGATTATCAGGATAAACATATTATCTAACGATTATTAACCGAAGATAAATAATTTTCTTTTCTAAATTGATTTAATTAAATATTACTATTATCGATTTAGAAAATGTTCAATATATAAAGGAAAGTGGTGTATAAAATTTGTCGTCGATCGTGTACGAGAAAGTAGAGTGCGATTGGTTATCAAGAAATAGGTGAAAAATTTGAGGCGACATTTCGTAATCGTTGTTGTGTGAAGGGATAATGACGTTATCGCTGTGTACTATCGAAAAATAATTCTAGCGGAGAATGCGGCAACATGTCGTTACATAAATTCGATCGCGAACGACCACCGAACAACAACAACCGAGCGAACATGATCCTGGTAAGCCGTTTGGAAACTATCGTAGCAACATCCAGAACAAGTCCGTGTTTCTCATCGTTGAATTTCGTTTCAAGAGAGACAAAGAGAGAGAGAGAGAGAGAGAGTCTAAATTAATACCTTTTTATAAAAAATAAATGCGTAATCGTAAAAAAATAGAAGAACAAACGAATTCATAGACACACACACACACACACACCTACAAAAATGAAGAGAAACGTAAAATACTTTTGTTGAAGATTTTTAGTTAATTGACAAACGTTTCTAGCGATATGCGATAATGAATGATACAGATCTCGTGAGTTACATTATTTTCATTCTGTTTACATTACGTATAACTGATAAGAACCCTACTCTATCAATTTGCTACCGTTTTTATCGTTGTCCTCGTTCTTGCGTCAAACTTTCTTCGTTTACTTTGAAAACGTCAACCCCAATAGTGCTATGCGATTTATATCTATCGTCATTTTTATTTCATTTTTCTTTTTACGAAAGATCGTTTAATTTTTTTTTTTTTTTTTTTTTTAATAATTTTACAATACGTATAATACGTTTTTATTTTATATTATTTTACTAACGTGAATAATGTATCTTATATTATTATAGATATACAAAATAATGAATTTAACAATTTCATATTTTAAATATAAACATATCGATAGTGTTACATTTATTGTACATTCATAAAAAAAAAAATTATGTATCCTTCAGAAAGATATCACAATCTCATATACATTTTATAATAATTCATCTTATTCATTTCATTATTACAGAAATTATTGAATATTTATAAAAAAAGTGTAACAATTATCAAATACTTTTGCGTAACGACAATGACAATGAAAATGATAATATAATAATGATAATGATGATGACGATGAAGGGAGGAGAGGGGGGGGGGAGAGTATGAGTAGGAGGATTAGATGAAAAAAGGGTGGGGTTGATTTCGATGAATGAACAGTTTGTATACGTGGTAGGTTGATGATACTTTTGGTATACGACATTGCCTCGGGTTTTATCCTTTGCTTCTTAGCCGATCGTATCTCACTAGCCGCGACAGCACCTAGACTCATTAAGCGAAGCTTCTGCAAAGATATAAATAGGATGCCTTGTCCCGTTCGTCCGCGAAAAGAGCAAACGAACTTTCGTAGTCCGACCCTCCGTCGTCGTCTTCGTCTTCGTCGTAGTCGTCGTCGTCTTTACTTCTCCCTTTCTCTCTCTCTCTCTCTCTCTCTCTCTCTGTCTCTCTCTTTTTCTCTTACTTTAACTCTTAAACATTTATTTTTTCTCTTTTCTTTTTCCTTCCCCTTCCTTCCTTCCTTCCTTCTTTAAGAACAACTCCGGCACTTGTGAACGTAGCTTTCTATTTGGCGTAGACGGTGCCAAATTGTCAAGTAACTAAAATTACTGTGCAAGTACGCTCTTATCTTCTCTCTCTTATTCTCTCTCTTTCTTTTTCTAATTCACACTCTTCTTTTAGCAATTTTTTTTTTTTTTTTTATCTTTTGTGGACCACGTTCTTATCCCTTTTATTTCTGTTTCTTTTTCTAATTTTCAATCTATTGTATCTTAATATATTTTTCTGTTCTTTTTTTCTTCCCTTGTATTTTTGTTCTTTGAGATATTTTTTTTTTTTTTTAATTTCTGGGCTTTCAGTTTATCCCTTTCTTTCTCTCTAATTTTTTTTTGCTTCACATTTTGCCTCATCGATTAAGCTATTTTTTTTTTTTTTAATCAAAATCTCTTTNTTTTTTTTTTTTTTTTTTTTTTTTTTTTTTTAAGTCTATCTATTTATTCTTCCACTTCATTCTAATCCATTTTCAAAAACTTGTCTTTTTTTATCTATTTTTTTTTTTTTATCTTTTATATACTGCATTTTCTCTCATTCTCTTTTTGACTTTCAATCTATCTCTTGTTCTATTTTCTATTTTATTCTTCACACTGTTCTTTCTCTTATATATATATATATTTTTTTTTTGTATCTTTTTCTGGACTACTTTTTTTCTCTCTCTCTTTTCTTTTCTTTCTTTCTATTTTCACTTTACTCTTCACCCTTTTCTACTACTCTTATCTATTTTTTGTATTTTTTTGTTGCTGTTGAACCAAGTTCCCTCCTTTTCTCTCACTCTTTCTTCTGTATCTACTTTAGTCTTAAAGTCATTACAAGAATAAGAAAGTACCCTTCGATTTTCATCGTCGTTTTGCTAGAAGGAAGAAGAGGAGTTGAAGCTTTGTTTATATCTTCTCATACGCACCCATGCACACA